ACATGTAATGCATGACATTTTGTTATTAACTATCCTGCCTGGATGACACCGAAGAGCACATGAGCACTTACAAAAGCAATTTTCAACAGTAAATTTACTTTTATTGACTCACAATGGCCTTTGGAGCTATTGACCCCAGCAACCAGTAAATAAAGTTGTTTTTATAGCAAAGGTAGGTTAAGCAACAATGTATTTACCAGTTGGTCCTCATCTATCTGTGAATGTGTGAGGCAAACCAGACACAGAAGAGTGAAGATGAGGAACAGGCCTTTGGTGGTTCTGAGACCAGCCACTCCTCTACCTCTGGACAAAGCTGCTGCTGCTGCCATCGCTGTTCTAAATAAAAATGATAGAGCATAAAGGATCAATGAAGAATTGAGAAGGAAATGCTCCAACTTGTAAATTGTAATATTTACACTAAAGGTCTAAGGTATAAACCATCTTATAGTGAGTTACAGGTTCTTGTCTTACCTGTGATGTAAACGGAAGGAGAGCTGCTGAACAGGTGATGAAGGAAAAACTAGTGAGATGACACCAAAAAATGCTTTATATACTCCTGGTGTCAACTTACGCATGGCACAACTCACCTGTTTGTGTATGTGTGTGTGTGTGTGTGTGTGTGTGTGTGTGTGTGTGTGTGTGTGTGTGTGTGTGTGTGTGTGTGTGTGTGTGTGTTTGTGTGTCACTGTGTGTTTCTTGGTGAAGTGTGCAGGATGTCTTCTAATTTGCTTCAACTACTTTGCATCTCTACTACTCTCTTTAGTTTCATTTTCACAGAAATAGTATTTGACAGTTTCACTTTACAGGAATATACCAGCAACAGCAACAGTCACCTGTGTTGCTCACGATCAAAAGATGCGTATGAGACAGGAGTTCAGAATTTCAGCTCTCATTTCCTGCCCTGCCTGTTCTCTGCCTTTTCTGGATCTGTGTCCTGTTGGATTATCTGTTGGATTCTTTGTTCGTTTTCGATTATATACTTTGGTTTCTTTAGACTCAGACTCAGCTTGTAAGTGTGCTCGCTTTTGTTTTGCCTTAATAAATCATCGAACTGTACCCGCCTGTTTCCCT